CTTTGCATATTAATGGTAGGTATGATCTTGCTCTCTTTTTTTCTTTTCTCCACTCCAAGGCTTCTTTATAACTAGAAGTTGAATCCCCCATCCAGTTTGAAAAAGAAAAAAATATAATTCCAATATATATGGCAAAGGACATGAATCATCTCTTGGAGTTTCTAGGGAATTATATATCTAGCGTGCCATGGTCTGCTTTTCATGGAGCACAGTTCGGATAAGCAGTTTCGATGATCAAAAAAAGTAACACTACAGTCGAAATCTACGTCCAATATGGTCATGGGAAAATCAGCCAATACCTTGGTTAGCAAAGCCTAAATCAACTAGATCAATCAAAAGCTGTCTTTTATGGTTATGATGATATGAGCTAGATCATTTAAAGTCTCAATGAGTATCCAATCATCAGCTTCAAACCTATAATGCCACTCACTGAAGAATCAGAATATAAGGATTAGAGTTTTCCCTACTGAAGATTGAAGATTCGTTTAAGGATGATCTTGATATGGGGAGTTTAAGATCACAAAGACGGGACAAATGTCTTGGTACAATGCTTGGTTATGTGTTTTTTGTTTTTGTTTTCATAGGACTATATATGTTCTAATTTTTAGTACTAGATTTTAGGTTTTTGTCTTCCCAATTTGCAAGTACAAACACTCGAATTTATCAAAATGAAGTATTGCATTTTCTTTTTATTTTCAATTTATTACAGTGAGTTTTTCTTAATTTATTGTCGGGCATGTCTATGTTTATATGATGTCTTCTTATTAATTAGAATATGTTGGTGATCCTGGCACATTGGCCTTTTCCATTTCTTTTTAACCTTGTTTTGAAAACTTATCAAAAATTATTTGCCTTCTATCTCTCAAAATATATATCTAAAAAAAGATCATCTGTAAATGATACAATCTGATAAATATTGGATCAAGTTCCAATAGTATATCAATAAAAGAAGACCTATTTTGAGGATTATCATCCCAACACTTCTGCATTAATGAAATTATGCTTGCCGAAGCACCTGAACCAGGACCAGTAAGAGCAGGTCGTAATTTATCAGACACCACGGCTGCTGTGAGTTGCTGCTCAGAATAGTTCATCTCCAGTACAGTATGGGCCTGCCAGTGTTTATGATTACGAAACCAGTGTTAAGTGAGGAAAGCAGAATATGCCAGACATAATTTCATGTCCACAAGAATCTAACTAACATAACTTTGCATTTTCAAATTCTAGAAACTCCCTCAACCCAATCACATAAGTAGAACACTTATGATCTTGTTCATGTGTCGTTTCAGATATGACTGCACATGCGTACTTTATCAAACATCATAAATAAATAAACAAAACCTTATGAGAGAGGAGGAATATAAACCTTATGCGATAAATAGATAAGAATTTCAATCTAAGCATGTATAACAACATAAACTAATCAAACTCCACCTAAACTGATTCATCCAGCTCTTAATACTCTCAGCTAACTAAGCCTAAACCCATTATAAGACTATATAGGTCCTTTTCTTTGGGCCAAATTTTCTGCATGGATACTTCTATAAGTATTCAGTGGTGAAATTAATAGCACATCATATTGTATCGCTTCTTATCCAAGAAACAGTTACCTAGCTGATAAAGCAACTAAATAAATAAGTTACTGTGTTTAAATATTGACACCACAATAGGATTTGTCTTTCCATTGCTTGGTCCAGGTTAAAATTATTCAATTGAATCATATTCAATTACTCCTATTCAATGTCCCTTAGTATTTAAAGAGTGATGTAGGCTTCCAATAATGAGAAGCCTACATTTGAACTACCCAATTACAATTTAACTTCTAAAGTAAAAACATGCATGTAAGTTCTTCTCTTGGTTCAGTATACAGAAGCTTTGCAAGTTAGAGACATGTCCCAAAGCCTTACTTTATGGATATTCCAAAAATATAGACATCTAATTTTTCCGTGTATCTCCTTCCTCAATATTTACGGAGCCATATAAATGAGTGTGCCAACCATCACTACACCAAAAAAAGGCATTTCGGGTGGTTTTTTTGTCCTATACGAGCGGTTTTAAAGATCGCCTACAATGCCATTGTCTCTAGAGTGTAGAGGCGATTTTACCAACCGTTGAGGAATTCGAAGCGATTTCTTGAAGCGGTTGCAACCGCCTCAAAGAATTTGTAGAGGTGGTTGCAACCACCTCTACAATGCCTCTTTTAGAGATGTTTGGGGTGTAATTTGAGGCGGTTTAAAATTACATCTACATTCCTCCTCTTTTGAAATGTTTGGGACGGTTATAAGCGCCTCAAATTTTAAAAATATAGAAACGGCTTAGACCGCCCCAAGCTGTAGAATTTATAGAGGCGGTTACAATTGCCCAAAAGTTAAAAAATATAGTCATTTTAAACTACCTCAAACTATAGATTTAAAAAACAAATAAATTAATTCATTTAGAATTTATAGAGGCCTTCAAATTCAATTAATTACTTCATTTTTTATCCAAAAAAATAAATTAAAAAAAAAGTTACATCATGTTAAATGCAAATAAAAGAAAAATTATATAGTTGACACTATTCTTAAAGTTGTAATTATTAAATTCTAAATACATAAAAAGTTTTCAAACATCCACGAAGAAAAAAAACTAAAGGATTAAACCCTTGTTCAAAATACATAAAAAAAATTCCTAATATCTTTTAAAATAAACGACTAATATTGAAAAAAAAAAAAAAAACAACTCTCATGTTTTTATATAAAATGCTTCATTTTGACGAGATGACTTGATTGTGATGAACGATTAGGAGAAGAAGCATTTTGACCATTACCATCATCGCGAACCTATCAAAAGCACAATTTCAAAGTGAAAAAAGAAACAATAATATAAATACATATAAAAACTCATAAAAAAATATTTTAAGATTAGAAAACATGTTAAATATTTAATTAGCAGTATATGATACCCGAGTTTGATTCAACAAAGTAGGCATCAATTATGATTAGGATATCTCTCCGCACGAGAGTTTTTGGGTAATAAATATACAAGCTCCCGAAACCGGCATGACTCCACTTAGAAGGATGATTGAGTCAATTTTCCGTGATAAGAGAGTTTTTGTAAGTTGACTCCTTTCTAAGGTGCACTCCGAGCACTTGAACAAATATTATGAAGCATCCAATATCTCAACTAATCGGTAATCTTTGGCAAAGTTTCTTTATCATTTTTAGGACGGATTATCTAGAAGCAAGGATGTAACTAAACGTCACATTTGTCATTCCTAAATGTGACACATCACATATATCTTATCTCGTAATTCCATCATAGGCATCAACATCTCATATACTTGTATCAAGTATCTTGGCTTTTCGGAAGATAAAATTACTAGCAAGATTTGATTTTATTGATGCATAGGAATCCAACGAGTTATTTCTTCATCCGACCGCTTAAGTGAAGAATCAACTTGCAATACATCCTAAAGAAAAATCAGCACCTTAAGTGACTATTACGGTTAAAAAGTAATATCCATAAATCGTGAGCATGCTATGAAATAGAAAAGGCATGCCCTTGAAATTTTAAACACTCAAAATTGAATCGGGAAAAAAAGCATGAAATGGAGATCCGAGTGCACACAAATACATGAAAGGATAAGCCTTTAACGGATTGGCTAAAAATTGCAAGACTCGATCAATAAACTTTAAATGATCATATAGGAATGTGCAAAATTAAAAAGAGAATGAAAGTGAAGTGTGTTTTTAAACTTACGACATAAGAAAACGCATCCCATAAGCGATAATGATTCAACTTAGATTCAATCTTTATATTATCTATGTTATTGGCATTCTTTCGATTGATGAAATTTTATCGAGTAACCATAACTATCATCCGAATTACGGACATAAGTAGAATGGCAACATTATAAATGAAGTAATATTGCGGCATTAGCAATAACATAAAGCAAAGAAACTAACATTAAAGTACATATAGCGAGATATTTTAATAAATGTGAGAGAAAATCGGTAACTAAAGCTTTTTATACTTCAAATAATGAAAAATATGATGCTAAGGCGACCTAAAACAAATAAATTAATCTACCAACTACAAACAAAAGGAAAATATGTGTCTCAATCCACAAAGGCACATAAAATGTCTTGAGATACATATGTCATATGTTCACCATGGAATTGAAACAAACTTAAGGTATTACCTCCTCTATACTATGCGGAAAGTGGTTTCTACCACAAACTATACTACTACTCTACACCGAGGACGGAAGCAACTTACATGTCTTTCCTATGATCTCCTCAACCATTCGAAAAGCATCAATTGCTTGAGTTGCACAAGACAAGTAGTTACAAATCGACAAGTTGAAAGTATAATTTTGTTACGAAATGAAGCAATAAAATAAATCACAAACCGAAGTTATGAAGGCAAGGAGCAACAATAACAACATCATGCCATATATTTAAGCAAATGCTGCATTTTGCATGCTCGCATCTATACGGACCTAGTAGAGAAAAAAACAAAAAGCCAAAGAATAATATCGGCATAATCGTAGTCCACAATGGCACACAAGAAGAAAGTCAAAAATTCCGGATATAAATTACACTAGGAATCTATTACAAATGATGGCAACTTTACAAATGAGTTACGACGAGGTTTTTGCATTTCCAAAACATTGAAGTTCCGGGGATGTTTTTGAGTTATATGAAATTCGAGTAGAAATTAGCTACATGAAATTAAACTTCTTATTCTTTTCTTACGTACCCTTCTTTGAAGAGCTTGAGGTGGAATTTCCCATGAGCACTGGAAAATGAGGAAGGTGGGAGGGCGATAGCGCTGCAGGAGGCATGCAACCGAATTCGTCGAAGTGGTGCGGGAGACCTTAAGAAGATAAGAATGTTTAAAAAAGCACGCATGGCTCTTGAGGCATGTGACTATAAGCCGGAGGAGAAGCCCGGAGAAGTGGCGGAACTAAAGCTAGGCTGGTAAAAAAGAAGCTACGGATTGAAGAGCTAGAGAGAATTATGAGGCTTAAGCGGGCGAGAGGCGACATGTTCCAACTCAAGGCCAATGAGACAAAACTAGAGGCCGAGAGGTTGCGAGAGAATTACACTTGCTAAGACAAACAAATCAAATGAAGAATATGCTAGCAATTACCTTAAGCTTCGTTTAAGTGAAGCTAAGGTAGAGAAGCGATATCTATTAGAGAAGATTAAGCTATAAGAGAGCTAACTTGCATAGGTTATTTATGACTCATAAGTCAATCAATCATAAATGAAAAATAGCTTCAATTTCATTACAAAGTGATGAAATTAGATAGAGACATACCACCCATGCGAGCATTAGTGGATCGGCTTCTTTCATTACAAGCCTAACTAAACTAGATATTAACACATCCATCTATTGGATATCGGTAATGAGTACACAAAATTACTTGAAGTTCATTAGAAACCCAATTTGGAAATGGGGTAATGGTGCTCGTATAACCGGGCTTGAACTCCCGAAATCAATCCAATTATATCATTAAAGGTATAATTCAATTTGTTGATACCAATATTTGATACTCGGCAAATAGTCGAAAGGATAGCATGGGATCCTTATTACTATAATATTTTACCAAAACAGAATATTCGGGCATTGGATGATAAGGTTGGGTATTAGGATCCTCCAAAAATTTAACTTCGTGTCTAACTAAAATGTCTATACTTGAATTTCAACACGACAGAGTTTCCAATTCAAGTATTCTTAACAATCCTCAATCTAATAATCCAATCCAATTAACATAACAAAATCCAAATCCTTCAAATATCTAACTCTAATTAAAAAACAAAACAAAACCCGGATGCCAAAACCACGGAAAAAAATGGGATAAAAGAACTATTTTTACCTGCGGAACTTGCCAAAACAAATCGGATAGGAGCTTAACAATAACTTCTAAAAAAGAGATTAAAAGCTGTAAAATGGAAATTTGACCCTAAAAATGAAGAAGAAGGAGAAGAATAGAGGTTAAATAAGACGGTGTATTCACCTGTGAGCGACGGTGATTGAAAAGAAGGAGAAGAAAAAACCTAGAAGTCGAAGCGGCGAGGCATGATAACGAATTGCTTTGGTCTCTTTTCGGAACTCAAAATAAAAAAGAAAAGAAAAAAATGTGGGGTAGCTACTAAGAGGTGGGGGGTTTTGTCACCCGCCTCCGTAAGTTATATGGAAGATAAAAATTATAAAACCTTGAGACGGTTTTCTAGATATCCTTAGACGTTCCACCCCTGTACCTTTTTTTTGGTGTAGTGCATGTGCTTTCTATGGAAACCACCGAGTTGGCTTTCCCGATTATCTCCGAGTTTTCAAGAGAAACTCCTTTAAGATTCTTTTGGTATTATGCCAAACCAAAGTCCGCTAAGTATGGACAAAGGTTTTTATCCAATTGCATCACAAAAAGCTTTCTCAAAATTATCCGTAGACAATTTCCAATACCAAAGACAAACCATGGATAGACAAAAAGCTTATGGAAGAAAATTACAAGAACATTTGCTGGTTTCACATCCCTATGGACAATCTCGTGTTTATGCGAGATATTGTTGGAAGAAGAAAACAAGTGACAACGAAAAACAATGTAACATCACCCTACAAAGTCCTTAGAAAAACTTCTAATATACCAAATCAATACAAATATACATTTTAGTGAAAACTCCACTTACATCCAAGCACTATCTCGGAACATCCTTTCCAAAATTTAATCTTGAAGTGAAATGATTTTGAGCTAAAACAAATCATACCAACTGGATCGTGATCATGAGCACTCGATCCATATTTGGATTCCATTCTTCCACATGTAAATTCCCAACAAGATTACCGGATTCATAGAATTCAAAAAAGAACATATAATTTAGAGGCTTTGCATGTAGCTGCAACCAGCTAGGCTATTCCAGGATGATCTAGCTTGCTTCATTATTCAACAAAAACCAATGGTAAGAAAAAAATTAAACATATACTAAAATGTTAATGCAACAAAAACCATTCTCGTTTTTCATCTACAAATTGCAATGGAATTTGAATTTCACCGAACCCATTAAAATCTAAAATTCTTCCAAACCACACGTCCACATTAACAAAAACAAGTTAAAAGAGAAAGATATCATACGAGCTGAAGCTCCTTATGAAATTTATCAATATCCTCGAAGCGAGACAAGATTGGTTTTTTAACGACAACTTTTCTCCCATCCAAAATAGCATAAACCACACTCTCAACCCCTACACACACAAAAAGAGAACACCAATCACCAAAAAGAAAAAAAATCCAGATGCAAAAACTAAAAAAGATTCAAACTTTTACTAAAATTGAAGAGGTTTTTACTTACCTTTGGCAATTGTAGAGAGGAGGGTGTAAGAAGAACGAGGGAGGTGAAGTGGGATTGAATTGCTAGTACAGCACCCTCTAATGCAAGAGTTTGGCTCCACAATTTCTAACCCCATAATGTTATTTTACCCCCTCCCTCTAGTCTCTAGCGAGTTTAAAAGAGAGGAAGAACTGATTAAAAAAAAAAATAGTGCTTTTATGGATTTTGAGACAAAACTTAAGTGATGCCAAACACTGTTAGGCGAGTTAATGTTTTATTTTTTTTTTTAGGAAATTTCCTTTCATGGTCGTTTTTCGGTTGGTTTGTACTTGGTTTAGGTTTTGACTAGGAGTGGGGAACTCAATTTACGAATCGAACCAAATTTCGTTTGGTGGTTTGCTAACTCGAATCGAAATTTGGTTATGTCGAAGCCACCCTAATTAGGTTCATGAGTTTTACTTGGTTTGATTTATCGTTTAACTAGTCAAAATATTGATTAATGTATTTGTTTATCTTCTCCAATTTCGTTTGGAAACTTTATAAAGATTGAATTTATAAATTTAAACCATGTACCAACTCCGGTAAAATTGGTTCGGTTTGGTTCATTGGGTAGTAGTTGGTTAGATTTGAACCTTTGATAAATAACTGGTTTGGATATAGATTAAGTCTATTCGATTTACTTATTAGGACCATAGTAGGACCATTTTTTTGTTTTTGTTTTTTTTTTTTTTTGATTAACTCGAACCACATGCTCGACAAATAAAATATAAATCGATCCTTTTATTTTTTTGAAACTATCTAGTTTATTAGTTTCTTTTGTTTTAAATTTAATCTTTTAATCAATATTAATCTATTTAATTTACTATTATTTATTTCAAACAATATAGTTTTTTTATCAATTTTTTTATATAATCAATTTTTTATTTCAATATTTTATAAAATAAAAAGCAAAACAAATGAAATAAAAAGTATAAAATAGAGAAAATATGGATAATTAATTTTTAAAATATATGGAATTAATCAATACGTTTTTCAAAACTAAAAAGACTAATTTATAATTTATTTCATTTCCAACCAAACTTATTTAATGGGTTTGGTTATCAAATTCCAAGATGAATTATATATATATATATATATATATATATATATATATATATATATATATAAAAGGAACATAAAGAGAAAAAAAAAAAAAACACTTACAAAAACAATACTAACAATATCTCCTTGTAAAAAGACAATGTATAGAGAAGGATAAGACCAAATTAAAAACACATATAAGAGATCAATTTTTTTAACTAAGGACCAAAGAAAGAATCATGTTAATGATAAATTTGAAATAAAAATAAAGAGATAGAACATTATGAAAATAAATAAATAAACAAATAAAGAGTACTAGCCACATAATTTCACAAAGAAAGATTAAAGTGAAAGGAAAGTTCAAGTATAAGAAATGATAATAGAAGCAAATCTATGTTATTGTTTTTCTAAAAACTAATAAACCTAAGTCAATTCAAACAGTTTGTATTTTAAAAAGAATAAACACATAGAAAGTAAAAAAATAATGTAGTGATAAACATCTTTGCATTGGAACCCAACCCCATCTAAACTCTACCCCTTCCCAAGTTCAAAACCGACGATCGAAGTACAACCATAGCAGGAAAGTGCAAATTACATATCGAAGCCATACGAGTTGTATAAGTGTGAGGGCGAGGCAAGGAGTAGCCACTGCTTGTAATGGAGTCATCATATTAGTGTTGCATGGTAAGAGACAGTAGGTTGCCTAGCTTCCATGCATGTATCGAGATCATGAATTAAACAAATAATTCTTGCAATTTCTAGTGAAAAGTTCCCAGTGTCCATTTACCTAAACCCGCATTCACTTATGCTCGTAAGGGAGCCATAGAAATACACAAGTAAATGTTTTCAAGCTTATTTCTAGTTTCTTAGATATTCATGTTGTTTAACACATCCTCCGTTCGATGCTTTTGGATGCGACTCCTCGTTTCAATCATTTAATTATGCAATCCATCCATAATACATTATGATGCGATGAGTCAAATCGGTCTTAAAACATAGTCTAGAGAAAACTCGTTTGAACACAATAAACAATGAACAAAACATCATAACCAATCAAGCATATTTCCTTTCGGAATTGACAACATCCCATTCTCTTGTAGAAATTGTGCCAAAGAGTTTCCTTTGTATTCTCATTTTGTTGAAAGCCCAACGATTTCGCGTGTTTCCCCCTTTCTTGTTCTTACCAATTTGGACAAGGATGTCTGTCGATTCCGAAAGAAAATATGCTTTGCTTGATTAAGATTTTTCATTCATCGTTTATTGTGTTTAAGTAGTTAATGTAGTTTTCTCTAGACTTTTTTTTAAGATTGATTTGATTGACTGCAACATGATGCATTATAGATTTGCATAATTAAATTATCAAAACAGTGAGGATTTGTCAAACAACATGAAAATCCAACAAGTAAGCTTGAAAACATGTACTTTGTATAAGCAATACATAGGAATTTCTTTTTTTCACATTTTTGATGATTTCTAAGCGGAAGAAGACAATGAAAAGGCTAGTTTAAGCCTCCATTACTTGTAACTAGGTATGTTCCGGACATGGTATAAGCGAGTGAATAAAAGAAATGTAAAGTTTCATTATTCACATGGGTAGTTGTTTTTTTTTAAAAAAAAGATTGAAATATCATTTTTGATGATTTCTAAGCGGAAGAAGACAATGAAAAGGCTAGTTTAAGCGGTGAATAAAGAAAAATAAAGTTTCATTATTCATATGGACGGTTGTTTTAAATAAATAAAAAATTATTTTATAGGTAGTCTTGATTAAGTGCCCAAGCAACTTTTACATGCAAGAACTTGAACTTAGGCCTCCGATATCATTCAATTATTTTGAGACTATTCAAGAACTCTCAATTCTACTTAGAGCCGCTGCTTCCCCACGCCCTCTTGCCTTTTTTTTTTTTCCATATAGCTCGCAAAACTTGCGGCAAGTAAAAGAGAGAAGATAGAATGTTTCCTTGATATATAAATACAACAAAGCAAACCCGAGAATTATATATCATAGATAATACATCACCGATCATCAATAAAGCCCAATTGCTTCTCCAATCCCTCCGGCTAGTTATGAATTCGAATGTAATCCACCGATTTCCCTCAAGCCATTAGTTTCTATCATCTCGCAAACTTATTTTCAAGGATATATTGACTTCGAGAGAATGTTTCCTTGATATATAAATTTAAACAACATACTTTTAAGCAAGTTCTTTCGCAGGTGAAGATTAATTTCCCATAACTAGTGATGACACAAGTTATTTATAAAGAAAGGATGTTAAGGGCACCTATGAATTTGATTCCAAAAACTATATGAAATCCACTAATCAAACACAAAATAACTACAAAAATGAGAAATAAATGACGAATATCTGCTAAATGAGAAATATGAGAGTTGAACCTTAAAAACAGAAATATGAATATAACCCCTATATGTACCTTCAAGATTTAAAAGTCGACGACATTAACTTTGCTTGTTCTTCTATCAATTCTTGCCGCTTCAAAAAGAGCTTCAATTCGACCACCCGTAACTTCTTCCACTTCTCCTTCATCTCCGCCTTCTTACTCCCATGCACAAAATCCAATCCACTCCTCACAACATAATCATCCATTCCTCTAACACTCACACTTGTTACAAAACTCCGAAACCTTTTTGACACCTTACATTCCGTCCTCCCCCATATCAATATCCAACTCAACCCTCGACACCTCCGAGAGTTCGGAATTTTTGGGGTTGATCGTTGGGTTCCGGTGGTTGTGGCTTGTGGTGGAGGAGAAGGGGTTTGATTTTGTTCATCATCGAATACCTCTTCCTCCTCACCACTGGAAGTTTCTTCCTCTTCTTCTTCGAGCTAGAAGCGAGAGGGTGGATCTTCAACGGGAGGGGGCGTTTTGGTGCCATTAAGAAACGAGAGAGTTAGGGTTTCGAAAGAGAGTTTGATTAGGGTGTGTCTTTGAGGGGAGACAGAGAGCCGACCCTAAACCGGGAAGAGAAGAAGCCTTTAAATCTCACGGTAATTTTAGTTTTTAACCATTGTAGTCGATAGAGAGCGAGATAATTAATAGAGATAATTATCGGAAAAACTCTCTAAAAAATTCTTATATCAACTTATCGAGTTTAGTTTTAAATCTCTCAAATTCAAAATAATATTTTTTTATCAAAATACCTAATAGTTAACCTTCAATTTAACACTAGTTAATTATTAGATCTTTTGATAATATAATTTTTTTTTGTTTTTAGGTTTGAGAATTTAAAAAATAAATTGATGAATTTTTGAGATAAAAAAATTTTTAGAGATTTTTTCTAACAATAAACTCATTTCACGAGTTTTTAATAAGTTTGATATTTATTATTATTTTTTTAATGATCAAGTCAAGTTTTCTTTTTTCATTGCATTCAAAAGGAAAAAAAAAAAAAGTTTTTTGAGGTTCTTTGACTTTTAAACACTAACATTCAACTACTTTTTTTATTATATTAAAAAATTTCTTATATTATAGTTTTTTTCTATCAACCATTTGTTTCATCAATTGCGAGATTAATTTTACTATCTAGTAACTATATCAACAAATACAATTTAACTAATTAATATTGATGAATGACACTCTTGTTATTTTTTTGTAATTTAATCAAAAAGTTATCATACAAATAAGAAAAATAAGAATATATATAATTCTGAACTTAGTAATTTCTTAAATCCTAATATATTGATAGAGAAAAAAAAGCATCATTGGTAATACTAGTTTTTAATTAATCAAAACTCAACATTTTTTTATCAAACAATTAAATTAAATTAAAAGATGAATGTGTAACATATTTTGGTGCGTTAATTAAATAAATGAGATCATCCATAATAGAAATACATATCTTGAAATATAATAGTTTCATTTAAACTAGGGATAGTTACCAAAAAAAAAAAAAATTCTATCTAAAAATTCACTATTTTATTTTAAAATCTCCTAAACACAAAATAATATTTGTAAATCTCACAAGCCTAAAATAATATTTTTCTTACTAAAACACCCAATAATTATTGAGTGTTTTAGTAAGAAAAGTGTTAATTATTG